GCACCTGCCTCTGCTGACCGCCTCCGGCACCTGCCTCTGCTGACCCCCTCCGGCGCCTGCCTCTGCTGACCCCCTCCGGCGCCTGCCTCTGCTGACCGCCTCCGGCGCCTGCCTCTGCTGACCCCCTCCGGTGCCTGCCTCTGCTGACCCCCTCCAGCTCCTCGCCTCTGCTGAAGCCGGGCACGACTCCCTCCAGGGCGCCCCGGAGGCCCACTCACCTCAGGACGTAGGAGCGGGCGGGCGCGCTCTTGTAGATGTACTGCGCCAGCCACCACTGCACCGTCATGTTCCAGTAGCGCATGCCGTCACGCACGCGCACGCAGAAGTCCGTGCCGTAGCAGTCGATGTTGCGGACGGCCTCATAGTCGTACTCCCAGGAAGCCGCCTCCTCCGGACTGGGGGGTGGAGGGTGAGGGTGGGGGACAGACATGCAGCTCAGCCAGGTCCCCTCCCGATGCCTGCACCTGTCCCAGCCCCGGACGCTAGGGAGGGGATCCCGGCCAGGCGACAGCTGTGGCCATCATGGGGCAGTGTAGCCCAGAGGGAGCCTTCGGGGGAGGGTGGTGGTGGGCCGGGGCACAGCTCACCACGGCAGGGAGCTCCTGACCGAGGCTAACAGGGCCTAGGCCGCCGTGGGAAGCCCTGAGGGGCTGTGGTCAGAGCTACGAGTCCGGCAATGAGTCCGAGCTCGGCAGGCACGTGAGTCTCCGAGTACAGTCCTTGCTAAACTGCCGGGCACCGTGGTTACTGGGGAAGCATCGCCCCAACCAAGGCGGCTTGCGGTTGCTAAGGAGATGACGTCTCAGTGATGGCTGTTGCTAGGAAAGAGGCATTCCTTAGCAACAAGGCCTAGATGTTTAGGAAAGCTTCCAGAAAGGACTTTTGTCTGGTCCCATGATTGTCCGAGAAGTGTCACCTCCAGCAGTACAGAGACTCCCAGGTCCTTGGCACCAGGAGCTCTGGCTGCGGGGGAAGGAACACCCCTGGCTGCTCTGATGACAGGAGGGGGACAGTCCTCTAGGAGCAGGGGTCTAGCAGGGTGGCACGGCCTCCAGGTGCTGCTCGACTTCCCTACGGCCCTTGCTCCAGCAGCTGGGGCCAACCTGGGCAATGGCCATAAATTCGTGGGGGTGCTACAGCCCCAACGGAATAGTGGCCATGAGCACTGGGGATGGCCCAGCCCCGGCAGGAGCGGCTCCAGTACCCAGAGCTGGCCTGGCCCCGCGTGGGAGGCAGGAAGTGGGGGCACCCATGCCCGGCTGCCTGGGCACTCCCCTAAGCCACCTGGCAGCCCAGGGCTGCAGGCTTTGTGGCAGTGCCAGGCAGGGCAGGACAGGGCAGGGCAGGGGCAGCGAGAGCAGCAGCTGCAGGCAGCCTCGGCCAGCGGGGTAGGGAGGCTTCCTGGGCAGCAGAGGAAGCACCCTGCGACACTGGGACGCGTCCCCTGCACTGGAGAACAGGGAGGTTGCTTCCTCTGACAGTTGGCAACTGAGGCTCCGTGGGACAGTGTCCGACGGAGAGGACAAAGGGGCAGCCCAGGGGTGTTGCTTCTGTAGCCACAAAAAGCAAGACTCCTGGCAAGAAGGGGCAGACCCCAGTTACTAGGGATCCTGCATCCTTAGCAAAGGGGGGGGGGTCCTTCAGTTGCCAGGGAACTGTTTCCCTAGCAACAGGATCAACCCGAAGGATGGCCCTAGCAAGGGGGCACAATCCCATTCTTGGGGTGACGCTTTCTCCCTTCCTTAGCAGCAGAGGGCAAGTCATCATATGGAGGGGAGACAAGCACTGCAAAGGGGCGACCCGCAGGCCGACCTCTGTTGGCCACGGTGGTGGCCCTGCCCCCTGCTCCCCCGTGCTCCTCCCTGCTAGGGGCAGAGCCAGCCCTTGGTGGTGGGGCCTGCTGGGTCTCGGGCAGCCTCCCTCCCGCTGCCTGACCTGCTGGGGGGTGGGCATTGGAGGGTGGGGCCGCCCCCGGCCCGTGGGCGCCCACGGGTGAGCCCCCGAAGCCGGCGGCAATGCAGCCGCACTCGGCGGCAATCCAGGCCACGTAGAAGCGCATGCGAAAGGCGAAGAAGACGGGGATCATGTAGAAGAGGCGGGCGGGCAGCGGGCGGGCGTAGAAGGCGTCCTCGCGCACGGCCTCCAGCGGGAAGAGGTGGGAGGACAGCAGGAACAGCAGGCCGGACACGGGG